CCTCCCCGCGTATACCCACTGGCGTGCCGGCCAGCGTCAAGCCTCGAACCAGGCGACCCCGATCCGAACCGATGGCCGAGAAACAAGCGGAGTTCCCAAAAGGAGAATGAAGACAGAGAGTGGAGAGGCGAGAGAGCGATACGAGAGGAGACAATCGACGCGAGAAAGAGAGAGAGAGAGAGGCGGGGAGAGACGGTGGGACGAGACAAGCAACGGACAAAGTGAAGACGAAAGGGCGGAGAGCGGCGGTGGGAGGACGTGAAAGCCCGACGAGCGATTGCAGCTTGGGCGCCAGACAGAGTGAATGGCCACGAGCTTTCGCGTTGACTCCGGCTGCTAGGCCTTTGCAGCCGGCGTCGACGCCGCCGCCGTCGAATCAGGGGCATCGGCGTCGTCGCGCTCCTGGCCCTCAAGAGGCTGGCAACCGGTGATTTCCACGACCTGTTCGCTGCCCGGGTAGTCGGGCAGCCGTAGGTCGAATCTCTCCTCGAGGTCCTCGCTGATGAAGCGGCCGCCGAGGAAGTGGCGCCCTTTAAAGTCGCGCGTGCCCAGCTTGGGCGCCGTCAGGCTGACGAGCACGCTTGGTGTGAAAGCGTTGTTGATGTTTCCCTTTTCGACGTCCCACGATGAAGGAATGTCCACCGACACCACAGGCGGCTGCATCAAGAAGGTGAAGGAGGAGCCCGCGCACGTCAGCCTCTGCAGGACTCAAGGGCTCAAGGTCGCTCGGCAGCCCGGCGAGCGCAGACCCACCATCTTCCGTCTTGCCTCAAACTCGATCCGCGACTCGTACTTGAGCAGGTCGAGGGGTGCCTTGAAGGGTTCCCGGACATCTCCCTTGAACGAGAAGCCTGGACATAGTAAGAGGCGGAACAAAGCGTTCGCGTTCAGCGTCCGACAGGATCGCGGAGGGCAGTCGTCGCGTGCGCCCGAGTACACTCACCAAAGATCGAGTCTACCAAGAGGTCCGCCGCGCCGAGGGCGTCTTCAAAATCTTCTGCCGCGATGAAGGGTATCCTGAGGCCTTGCAACTGGACCTTCAGCCTCTGCTCCGGGCAGAATGCAGAAGAAACCGAGGGTGGCAGAGCGCAAAGGTGAGCAAGAGCCGGTCACGACCGGCGACGGTCGCCAGAGATTCGGGGCCGCTGCATCCGGCCTCGCAAAGGGGTCTATCGAGTCGCAGCGCCTCTCGCGCCGCAGTACGTTGAGAGCTTACCTGAAACAGCTCCGTCTTGCCGACTTTTGGGTACCAGACGGTGGGTTCGTACCCCCAGTGGTAGAGGTGGCGCGCCGCGACGAGGCCGTCGCCGCCCTGGTTGCCCGGGCCGCATGCGACGAGGACGTTGGGGTATCGTGAGGGCGGGTAGCACGAGTACACAGCCTGGGCGCAAGAGAGACCGGCAAGTTCCATGAGTTGGTCGATGGAGAAGCCGCCCGACGCGCCCAGGAGCTCCTGGTCGATTTGCTGTGCGGCCGCCGCGGTGAGGTGCCGGATGCGCAGTGGCGCCGACGACGTCGACGCCATGATGATGGGCGAGAAGAGCGAGTTGAGAAACGTATTGAAAGACCTCCGGAGGTGGAGCGGGGGGCAAAGGTCGGTCGCGTCGGGCGGCTTCTGATAAGCGCTCAAAGTCGGCGAACGCGGGCGTGACGAGGGGGATTCGAACCAGTCGATCCAGGTCGCGATCAGAAGGTATCGCAGGTTCAGATCCGTGGATGGTTCGACGAGAGAGGACGGTGAGCTTTGGCAAACGTCGGTCGATGGATCGGGCCAGCGGGTGGGTGGCGCTGCTGTTGAGCCTGGAACGAGACTGCCGATGGGCGAGCGGAACGGGTGAAGCCAGACGCAGCGACGGCGTGCGAGAGAAGCTGTGGTCAAGAAGACGGAAGTGAGGATATGGATGGATCCGCTCGAGTCGGAGCCTGGTGAACGTGGTCGGATGGTGTTGGGTGGCGGTGGTGGCGGCGACGGTGGTGGGGGCTGGCAGGTCGGAATCCAGCCGGGACTGTGTGCGTGGAAGCGAGGGCGGCCATAAGGGAGCCGAAGAGGCCAGCGTCGAGGATTTGCAGAAGGCTGAGGCTGGGGCCGGGGCCGGGGCCGGGGCCAAGAGGCCGCCCGCCCCTGCTGGCCCTCGGCGTCGTGCCGTGCCAACCCAACCCACCCGCCCGCTCGCCCGCACCTCGACCGTAACTCCACCGCGCGTTGCCTTGGCAGGCCTGGCCGAAACAGTCCCTCCAACATCTGGCAGTCCGCAGCCAAGGAGCAGACGGGAGTTTTCTTCTGCTGCTTCTCTCTGCAGTCGGAGGAGCCTAGACTAGGCGCGGTGGCTCTCTTCTTCACTCCCGGCACTGCCGGACTCGGCCTCGAGCCGCCGAGAGCACGAGGTAGGTGTGGCAAGCCTTTTTTCCGTGGCGGGTGGGTGGCCCTCAAAGCGGGTCGGAGGCCTCAGCGTTTCAGGTACGGGTGCCACCCAGCCACGGCAGCGGGCAGTCCGCCAGAAACCCTGGGGTCCCACGGTGCCCCCTGCCCAGCCTGCTGGCCCTGTCTCGTTCTCTGGCTCGCTGCGCCTGGCCCAGGAACCGCAGCGTACGGCTTGCTTGCAGCGCCTTGGGAAATTTGCAGCTCAGCTTTTTCTGAAGCGCTGTGAGGCCTTGCGTTTGACGGTACACATGTGCGAGGTGCGGGTCGCGGCTACGGCCTCATGCTCGGCCGGCCTGTTGCCTGCCTGCTCGTTGTGGTGCACCTCGTCTTTGTCTGTGATGAGCCTGCCTGCCTCTTGGTTCCAGCCGGGAGATGGTCCCCGGTCGGCAAGGGATGATGTACGTACTCACGCGTCCACCTGTGATACCACGCCTGGAGAAAAGCCAAATGGGCGAGCTAAGGCAGCGGCGCATGCGCTGGCAGGACGGTGTGGGACTTAGAGAGAAGAAGCAAGCCGCCAGCGTCCCACCAGGCAGGGTTGTGGAACGAGGGTCCGTGATACGGTCAGCTCACTGGCGCGCCTGAAGCGCAGTAAGTAGTCTGGCTACTGTACCAGCTAGGAAGCCGGATGTAGGCCGAAGACGTCCGCACCTTCTTTCATCAACTTCGCTCGGTGCTCGCTTGCGCTGCTGCCGCGCCGCCCAGGGTCCCGCTCGCCTGCGGCACCTTCGAACCGAGAGCTCCTAGAGTGCGTTCGCGATGAACGCTAACTTACGAGCGGGTGCTGCCAACTCGCAGCGCTCGTCTGATCTCTTCGACTGGCGACCGACTTGCCACCACGACTTGGTGCGCAAGCCTTCGGCCTATCTTCTCGCCGATTCCTTCAAGCCGGAGAGGTAAAGGATCGGTCCGCAGCGCCGAAGATGTGTATATGTAAATGCTACAGAGGCTGCCACCCCACCGTTGCAGCGCATGCCTGCCTCGTCGTGCTTCAACCCTCCCACTCGCAGCGGGTCGCAGAGGTGATTCCCCATGGCGCACGCCTGCGAGCCATGGCCTGACAGAGTCTTTCTCGGGAAGCACCGATACGGCCGCGTCGGTCACAGTCACGCCACTTTCATGACGGACTCGGCGTCCTCCGACGTATGCTGCGGCCAAGTGACAAGCTGAAACCGCCACCGTGGGCATTGGCGGCCCCGTTGCGAGTCATACTACTGATCAGCAGGAGGGGGTCCTTTGTTTGCAACAATGCAACCCGGCACAGAAGCGTCGTCGGGAGGTCCCGGCTGCGGCGTCCTCGGACAGCGTAGCGACGACGAACAGAGAAAGACGCAACGACAAGAGTGGGTCCGCTGCGGTCCAAGAGGGCCATCAAGTCCGAGCCGAACATGACTCCGGCTGCTGCCCATCAAACGGGCGGCACGGCGACCATCTCACGCCGCCACGCGCGGCCGCCCCTCGCATGGATCGCACGCACGACAACGACATGAGAAGCCCTCGGGAATCTGGGCGAAGCGGTGGCGTCCTTTCGCGGCTCAACCCTCCGTGTTTGGGCGCTGTCTTGTCGAGATTCCAGCGCGGCGGCGACCTCTTGGCATGTCTGTATGTGTACATACATATCTAGCTCAGCTGCGATAGGCCGCAAGGACATGACACTGGGACAGGCGACCTCGCGGGCGCTTCCTGGCCGTCTTTGCCGCCACCTTCGAACGCCACACCCGGGCCCGGCAGACGTACGGCGGGCGTACTAGCTGCTGCGCAAACCTGACGCACCTCAAAGACCCCAGGGTCCGGGCCTCGCTCCCTGTTGCAGCGGAACCGCGTAAGGCCGCGAGGTGCCGGACCAATCAAAGCAAGCAAGGCCATCAGCCGGGGGGGCCGGATCGAGCCTCCGCGCCGGAGGCCTGGCAGGCGGCGGCGAGCAGGAGACGAAGACACGCGGTGAGAAGCACGAGGGACAACGGAGCCACGTTGGTGGCGCCGGCCCGTCGCACGCAGACGATGCACGACGCCTCGCAGCGGGAGCCTGCCGTCGGTAATGCTCCGCGAGGGCATCGGCCGAGGGTCGACCAGCTTGGTGCCATGCCCTTCATGGCCAGCACGTACACTGCCGTGCCTATCCGCGCTCGTCTGCGGGTCGTTCGGCTGATCACTCTAGCACCTGCTCCTCCGCCTGTAGTTTTCCATAGTAGGCGTGCATGCTGCTGTAGGTGTGCCGTACAAATACAATGATGGGTGATGAAGCTCTGCCCGCTCAATCGACGACGTCCGGGGTCGTCCGAGGTCGAACTTCGAGCGTAGGCAAGGATGGACCTGCGGCGAGCGAGGCTCAGAGGCTGTCGATTTCCATGCCGATGGCGGAGATGCCGTTGGCAGGTCCCTTGCCGGCGCCATGGTGCTGCTGCCCAAAGCCGTTCCACACGTACAGCATGGCGAAGAGGTTGTCGTCGCTCGTCTTTTTGACGTTGGCGCGCAGCTCGTTGAGCGCCACCTGCACTGCCCTCAGCGTCGGCGCGTAGTCGGTGGCGGCGCGCGCCCGGATCTCGGTGCCGTGGGCCGCGAAGAGGGCCGCGATCCATTTCAGGTGGAACTCGACGTGCGGGCTGGCGCTGGCTGGCTGCATCCGCTCAGCCACCAGGCGCATCACGGCGGGCAGATGGACGAGCGGTAGCTGCCGAGCGATGAGCGCAATGTCTGACGGCGACGTCTGCTCGTAGACCTCGGCCATCAGCGGCTTCTCGCCCAGTCGGCAGGCGCCCACCAGCGCCAGCAGGCTCTCGCCCTGCCGAGAAGCCTCGCGCACGGCTTCGGGCGTCAGGTCGATATCGAGGTCGAACGGGTCAAACGCCGCCTGCTCGTCGAGGCTATAGATGAGCAGCCCACTCGTCGCGGCCGCCGCCCAGGAGCGACCGGTAGGCGCGAAGCGCACGCACTTGGCCCTCGAGATGGGCCGCGTCGACCTCTTGGACAGATCACCGCGCTGGGCTCCCGGAAGGCTGCGGTCCATGCGCTCCTCGGGCAGCAGGTCCTCCTCGTCGGAGCGGTCATTGACCAGGTCGATGTTGCCGGCCTCGGTCACCCGACGGCTGTCGAGGCGGTCCTGGGTGCCGTCGAGCGCGAGGTTCTTGGTCAGCTCCCACCGCTTGAGCAGCACCCGTTCCCGCACGTCGTAAAGGCAGACGTAGTTGGAGTTGCCACCGGCGAGGATGCAGGCGCCGTCGGCGCTGTAGCAGATCGTGGTGAAGCAGGCCCCGGCGGCGTTGTTGCGTCGGCCGACCTTGTCGTCGACCTTGCGGCCGCCCGAGATGTCGCGCCGGCACTCGAGCACGCCGGTCTGCTTTCCGTCCTGGGCGTTCCAGAAGGTCAGCTGGCCGTCGAGCGAAGCAGCGCAGACTTCGGTGCCGTCGGGGCTAAAGGCGATGGCGAGGCCGTCGCCGTTGAGCTGGAAGGTCTCGACGCTCTGCGACGTCCTGAAGACCTCCCACAGGCGGATGCTCTTGTCCCAGCTGGTGCTCGCCAGCACTCCGCTGCCGCTCGGGCTGAAGGAGAGGCCGGCGACGGGCCCCAGGTGGCCCGAGAGGATGTCGAGCAGCTTGCCCGTCTGAACGCTCCACATGTAGATCTCGAAGCTGTCGGCGCTGCCGGCGCAGACGACCTCGCCCGAGGGGTCGACGGCCAGGCTGATGAACTGAACCGGGGTCGGGCTCGTCAGCGTGCGGAAGTTGCGGTAGCGCACGAGGTCGTAGGCGCGCACCGTGCCGTCCAAGCTGGCGCTGAAGAGGACCGAGCCCTGTTTGGCGAACTCGATGCACGACACCGAGGCCGAGTGCTCCGAAAACGTGGCGGTGCAGAAGCCGCTCGACGTGTTCCACAGCTTGATCTTGCCGTCGTCGCCGCCCGTGGCGGCCACCTGCCCGTCGGACGCGTAGCCGACCGTGTTCATGTCGTAGAAGTGGCCCTGCTGCTTGAGGATGTACGACTCGCTCGCCCACTCCCAGACCAGCAGCTGGCCCAGCTTCTGCGCGCCAAAGGCGAGCCACTCGCCGCTGGCGTTGATGGCGACGCTCGAGATCTTTTCCTGGCTGATGCTGAGCGTGTGGATGTTGTTGAAGTCGGGCATCTCCCAGAGCCCGAAGACGCCGGACGAGAAGCCGACGACGAGGAGCGAAGTCTCGGGATGAAAGACCGAGCAGACAGTCTTGGTCTGGGGCTGCATGAAGTAGTGCTTCTCGGCGATGCCCCACCGCGTGAGGCCGACGGTGTCGTCGGGGCCGGACGACGAGCTCCCCGGCTTGGAGAGCGCGAAGCCATTGGCGCTCCGGAGTGCGCCGTCCTCGTCGTCTTCGTCCATATCGGCCGTGGCGACGTCGTCTTCGTCCTTGGCCCTCCACGTGAAGCAGGCACCGTCGCGCGACACGGTGAAGATCGTCCTTTCGTCCTTGGAAAAGAAGGCGTTGATGACGGCATCGCGATGGCCGGTAAAGGTCTTGGGCCGGAAGCCCTCGACCTGGTTGAGCGAGTAGAGGCGGGCGGTCATGTCCTTGGACGTGGTGATGAAAAACCTGGCAGATCGGGCGGTCAAAGCGATACGAGCGAGAAAAGTGGTCAGCGGTGCGCGTTCGCTGACAGCATCAACGAGACCGCGGCGAGGACGTCAAGGCGCGCGTGCGGCAGCAGCAGTGCTCTCAGGCCAATGCGATAGATTTCCGCTATGTGAGCAGACTCATTAAATCAGTTAATTTGGAGCATCCTTGAGCGCTGCTGCTGCTGCTGCTGCTGCAGTCGTGTGGATGCAGGCTGTCCTGCGGTCCTCGCTGCGAGGTCTTTGAAGTGTCTGACACGCATCACTCACCGGCTGTCCTTGGTCCACCGGATGCTGAGCACGTCGTCGAAGTGGCCGGTATAGGTGCGGTGGAGCACAAAGGGTGCGAACTCCCGCGCCAAGTGGGAAGGCGTCCTCCACACCTGGACCTGGGCGCCGTGCGTGACGGCGAGGTGCTTGCCATCGTGGGAGAACTGCGCGTCGCGGAGGGGCTGCTTGAAGTTCATGTGGGCCAGCACAGACCTGCGTTTAGTGTTGACCAGCAGGGCGCGTCCGTCCTCGTCGGCGACCAGGACGATGGCGGTGTTGGCCGGCGAGAGCGCGATGCGCGCGATGGGCTTGCGGGTCTCGAAGGGCAGCGTCGTCGACGTGTTCCTCACCAGGTCGAAGATCGACAGCCGGTTGCCGACCGGCGAGTAGATTGAATCGCCATCGGGAGAGAAGACGACGTTTCCGTGGCGGTAGACTGTGCCGCAGAGGTTGGAGAACTGGAAGGCCGACTTCATCGCGGCGGCGAAAGAAGGGCCGAACGTCGATCCCCAGATGGGTGTGGGAGCAGGGTGGCAGCGGCGCGATCGGGTCGCTATGCCATGTGGACGCTGCTGGTGCTGTCGCTGCTGGTTGCGGGCCTCTGTGCCAGAAGCCAGAGCGACGCGGGATGTGTGAAGGGTGAAGTGAGACCCGAGGCAAAGCAAGGTGGTTGATGGGCGGAGGGGGAAGAGGAAAGTGGGCACCGAGACCTTTTTGGCCTGCATTTTCCCCCCTTTCGCCGCCTCTTCGCGAAGGAAGAAGAAAAAGACAAGACGGCAGGCCAGGCGGAAAAAATCCGCCCGCCCGGGTTCGAGGCTGGCGAGCGGATCCGAAGCATCGGCGTCGTCGCGGCCAAGCCTCCACAGCCTGGTCCGGAGGTCTTTATTTGTCTGGGGCGCGCTCGGACCCTGCTGTGTTGAAAGCGGCGGGGGCATCGGCCGGGCCAGCAGCCGCCCTCGATGCGGATTGGGTCTTTGGTGCCCCTGCCACCTCGTCCCTCGTCCTTTATGCCCACCATCATCGCTTCAAGCACCACGTACGGCGCCGCACCAAGCAATCACTCGGCGCAGTGACGACAAGCAAGGCTCCAGATCATCTATCAACCGTAGCAACCTACAGTCACCGCCGAGGCGCACGAGCGCCATCGAGCTCGCTACTCCGGCTCAGAGACAGGTCCCCCCGCCCATTGTCACGACGCCACCGACTGCGGGTCGTGCGGCTACGCAAACATGGACGAAGTTTCAAGACAGGCCGCAGCTGCCGATCTGCGCAATGTCCTGCGGGCCTCTGGGACGGCGCTGCCCGACGAAGCCATGCTCACCACCCTGCTGGAAATCGAGGGCTGGGACGTCCAGAGGGCGGCCCGGGCGATACAGGACGACAGCGCCGCCGAGCGCAGGCGGAGCGGTGCCGATGACGAGGAGATCGCGCGATCCTTTGCTGCCAGACCTCCGGTCAGCGCATTCGAGGTCGACGACGGCCTTGCAGCAAGGCGTGCCACGAGGCCGTACCCCGGCGGCGTGGGCCTCAGCAGCGGCAGGGGCCCCCTCGGGGATCGTCCCGGTGGCATGTCAATCTCCTCGATCGTCTGGTCCGCGATCACCTTCCCTTTGTCCCTAGCGCAGTCGATACTGCTCCTCATCGCCCGCATCTTTCGCCTTCGAAGCTTGTTCCCCGGGCTATTCGGCGGCGCGCCCGGGTCGGATGGGTGGTCCCGGATGCCCAAGGTCGACCCTCGCATCTGCGCAGAGAGGTTCGTGCGCGAGCTAGAGGAGGAGACTGGCGCCACCTCTGGCCCTCGCAGCGCCTTGCCAGCGGCCGCGAGCGAAGCTTCATCCACGTCGCGCTCGAGGGACGGTACAGGGCCGCCGCCGGCGCCACGGATCCCTCCGTTCCACATCGGTGGCTACTCGGATGCACTCAAGCTGGCAAAGGAGCAGATCAAGATCCTCATGGTCGTGCTGACCAGCCGCGAGCACGGCGACGCCGAACACTTCCGCAGAAAGGTGCTCGTCGACGAAGAGCTCGTCGAGCTCGTCTCGCGGCCAGACTTTGTCGTGTGGGGTGGCGACGTTCGCGAGCGAGAGGCGTATCAGGGTGAGTGGCGCGCATGCTGCTCGCTTGGGTCCAAGCGCCAAGCGCTTCGCAAAGGACAGCGCCGCAGCAGACCGCCCATCGCTGACCACGTCTTTCTGCTGCCGTCGCCCGTCATCCTTTCGCCTCTGTAGTCGCTACCCAGCTCGAGGCCACAACCTATCCCTTTGTCGCCTTTATCGCACTACAGCCGGCGCGGGCAGCACGCAGGGCCGCCTCTTCGCAGAGCGGGGCATCGAGCTCCTCGCCCCGTCCGGCAGTGCTCTCTCGCCTCGAAGGGTCGCCGATGACGGCCACGTCGGCGCAGTCGATCTCGTCCCACATCGCCGACGTGCTGCTGCCGCGCACCAGGACGTACCTCGACCGGCTGAGGAGCGAAAAGAGGCGCAGGGAGATCGAGCGCGAGCTCAAGGCCGAGCAGGACCGCGCCTACGAAGAGGCAAGCCGCCGGGACGCGGAGCGCGTGGCCCGCAAGCGCGAGGAGGAACGGCAGCGCGCCCTCGAGGCCGAGCGGCAGCGTCGAGCGCAGGCAGAGCTCGAGGCGCAGCAACAGAAGCGCCGCGCCTGGCTCGGCTGGGCCAAGCGCCACCTGGTGCCCGAGGAGCCGTCGGCAGGTCAGCCGGCGATACGCCTCGCCTTCCGCCTACCGGACGGCAAGAACCTGTCGCGCAGCTTCCAGCCATCGGATCGCCTTGAGTCGGTCTTTGCCTACGTCGAGACGCACGCCGCCGGCGTCGATGAGCAGGACAGCGCGGCCCTCTCCGTCCCGCCGTCCGAGTACGAGCATCGTTACGACTTCACCCTGGTGCTCGGCTATCCGCGGAAGCAGATCGGTCCAGAGCTGCTAGCGGTGGGCGCGGACGGCAGCGGCAAGACGCTGGGCGACATTGACGGCCTGGCACCGAGCGCCAACCTCATCGTCGAGGGCAAAGTAGGGCGCGCCAGCTTGTCGGCCCAGGACGACGACGACGACGATAGCAGCGACAGCGACAACGACGACTGAGCAGCAGAAGGCCGAGCGCCGTCGCCATTCCTCGTGTATCCTCTCTCGCATCTGTCCCGCGCGATGGATGAACCGCGAAGCCTTGTGACCGCCTCGAGCCGATGGAACGTGCTGCAGCGGACGCGGCAAGGATCAGACCATCTCTAGAGACTGTGGCATCTTTCGACCGGTCGCGACCAGCCTGACCTTCCGCCGACTGCGCGGTGCGCTAGGCGTCTGTATCGGCCGGATTCCTTTTCGCGTGCCGGATCCCCGTGCCTGCAAGCTGCGGCGTCTTGCCAAGGTGCTCGGGCTCGCGCCGCGATGGCACTCTCGCGGCCTGCCTCTCCGCCCGTCCCCCGCGTCCTCTTCTTCCCCCTCTCCCCGTCTTCGACCGTTTGACAGAGGCCAAGCATCGGCACGATCCGACGGTGCCACCATCCTCTTGAATGAACAGCATGTCCACTTTGATACTTATCCGCTTACCATCTCCGGACCCGCCTGGATACGCTGGGCAGGTCCACGCGGCACACGGTGAGGTCCTTCGTGTGGCAACTCAGCTGCGCGGCGCCGGTAGTACGACGGTGATTGGATGCATGGATCTAGTCGTCTTTTCTTGCTTGAAGCCCTGGCCTGCTTTGCTTGCACGGCACGCTGCGCTGGGCACGCACCTGCGCGCTGTGGTTTGCGGCAAGGCGCGATCTCGAGGTGCAGCCTGGGCGCAGGCCAAAACGGCAGCGTACCGGCGCCAGGACCCGTCCCGTCCGGACGGAGTGAGGCAGGCCTGCAGCGGCTGCAACGGCTCCTTTGCATGGCAAGTCGAAGCATGCCGGTACCGGTATCGGTACCGCAACGGTGCTGCTGCTGCTGCTGCCTTTGCCCGCCTCGGCCTGAGCGGGTGCAACGAGACCAGGCGGGGCATGCCGCCTGGTCAATTGCGTTTCGGCTGGCCCTGGACCGCTGTGCGGTGCCTTCCGGCGAGGGCGTACCTAGCATGGATGTTGACTACAAGCCCCTTCCATCTTTGCTTGCTTACGTCAAGAGCCTTGGATCTCAGCATTAGAAGCATGCATGGAAGAGCTAGTCTAGTCGTGATGGCGGTGTGGGGGCATGGGCGGCGAGCAGGTGTGCAAGACGCGAGCGCCTCGTCGCGGGCCGGCCTGGCTGACCGACCCCTGGCCTTGCCCATTCTGCGCGCGTAGCTTCGTGTTGCCCATGCCGGGATTTGCTCAAGGGCGGCGGCGGCGGCTCCGCATGACAAGCAGTCCCCGGTCGACGTCGCGGGCGTTGCACAGAGAGAGACCGAGGGAACGAGCGAGGCAAGCAAAAAGCAAGCTAAGGCGCTCGACGAAGGACGCGCAGAAATCTGCCCCACCCCGTCCGCCCATTGTACGCCTTACGGTACGTATGGCGCCACCATGACCAGAGAAACGACGGTACCCACCGGTGCACTCATCGTGCCCTACCGCCTGGCCGCCCAGAGTCCAAAGAAAAAGGTCGAGTGGTCTTGTGTGGCCCTCCGTACCTCCTTACAGGCCCATCTCTCTGCCGCCGGGCCGGACCGTCTGTTGACGACGAAAGCTGTGCGCAAACAGGGGCCTGCCTGGTGTCGCCCCCGCTGAGCCATAGCGTGCGGCCTGCGGCTGGGTGGCCTCGACGTCGCCATCTTTGTCCCTTCAGGCAGGCGTGGCGTGGCGTGGCAGGCTCTCGTCGCGACGGGATCGACCGGTTCCTACCGGCACCACGTACCGGCGCCATACGGTATCGACGGAGAAAGGCGGGCCGCTCCCCAGCCCCAGCCCTAGCCCTAGCGTGCGTGCGTACGTGTTACGTTCGTCAAGGGCCCGACCCCGGGGTCCAGCGCTAGGGTCCTGGTCTCGTCTGCCTCGCAGCCGAATGGTCGCGCTCGTGCCACGGACGGCGTCTTGGAACTTTTCTCCAGCCTGGGCTGCGGCAAGCCAGCCTAGCTCTTCCTCTTCGCAAACGAGGTCCGCAAACCAGGCGCAGCCAAGAAGGGGAATTAGGCAGTCGCTTGCTTGTTCTCTTTTTGTCGCTCTCGATGATTGCCGCACGCCGGTGTGGCGACCGCGCAGCAGCTCGCCGGAGTGGTCGGGTTGGACGTCGATGGCCCAGCTTACTGCCTGCTTGTTCGGCGGGACCGGCCGCAGTGGTCGACGCCGCCTTGACTTGCCACGCTTTGTGACCGTCGTTGAAGAGCAGCGATGACGACGACGACGACGACGGCGAGGTCGACATGGTTGGCCTACCGTTAGCTGGCCGCCTTTTTGTCGTTGCAGCGAGCGAGCGAGACGCCAGCACGCACGCGCCCCACGCGCTCCTCCTTTCTTTTTCTCTTGCCCGCTTGCCAAGTTGCTTGCCCAAGGGGCTTTGGCTGGTTGGCTGGCTGGCACGCCAGAGGCGATCCAATTTTTTTCTTGCCATGGCCAGCACTCGGGCCAGGGCAGGCCCAAGGCAGGCAGGCAGGCCAGGACACGGCAGGGCAGGGCAAGCAGGGCAAGCAGGGCAAGCAGGGCAGGCTAGGGCAGGCCACGGTGCGGCCCGCCTGCGCGCGCCGTCTTGGGAACCTCGTGAACCCTGGCCTGCCGCCGCCGCTGCTGCTGCGCTTGCTGCCCGCCCGCTCGCTCGGCCGCAAGGACCCTCTCCGTCCGCTGAGGCTCTGGCTCGCTCTCTCTCTGTCTCTCGCTCGTTCTCTCTCTGCCTGTCTGGTCTGTCTCTCTCGCTCCCGCCCTCACTCTTTCATCGCAAAAGCCTGCCTCGCTCGTCGTTGGCTCCCGTCGTTGCACCCTTCTCCTTCTCCCCTCGACCAGGCACCACGATCCTCTCCTCCCCTCTTCGCACCAACCTGATAGCCCTGGCTCGTCCATCCGAGCCACTCCGATGGAGCCTCGTTACGGCCCTTTTCCATCCTACTACGACCAGATCCCCGCCCGGCCATCGCGTCCATCACCCGCTAATCTCGACATTACGCTACCTTACCGGTCCATCTGCTCGACTTGCATCGACCGACACTTCGGATTCGACCGACACCTGCTAGTCCGTGGCGCTGGGCCACTTCTTTGGACCCCGACCGCCCGCTGCTGCCGAAGCACTGAGAATCGCACCGGGACGGTCGCATCTCAGCCAACTGCTCCTCCTCTCACCCTTCGCTGAGCATCGAGACAAGACCGACCAAGGGTACAGCTTCCCTTCTGCAGCATCCGCCGCCCGCCGGCGTTTCTCGCTGCGAAAGCCGCATCTTCCTCGATCGCCTGCACACGACTGCCCTCTCCTTTCAAAGTTGCGCGCAGCTGCTCGACATCCACCGCTGCTCGGCACGACACCCTACAGATCTACTACGGATCCGTCGCTCGACAGAACGGACCACGCCTTCGGGTCTCTGCTTCGTCCTTGCGCGCAGAGCCGGCCCTCGGGGACACTCTTCCTGGAAAGAGACCGCCCCTGGACCTGTATAGACCCTCCTCGCTCTTCTTTGCGACCCGCCTAACCTGATCGCTTCCCTTGGCACCTTCCCTTGCGACACCGAGAACGCCCGCGAGTTCTCGGTAGCGCTTCGACGGGGAGGATCATGTCCGGCTCCAACTGGCCTGGATCCAATGGCACCGACGCCCAAGCCATGTTCGACCAGGGCAACAACGAAAACGTCTTCCGGAGCACGAGCTACCTCGGCCAGGGCGGCGGAGCTGGTGGGAGCACGATGGCGCCGCCCCCGCCCGGCATGACGGGCGATGGCGGCATGCCCTCGCTCTACCGCCGGCCTACACACGAGGAGATATCTGCGGTTCTCTCGCAGTACGCGCCCGGCCCATCAAACAACGGAGGCAATGAAGGCGGAGGTAACGGCGGTACCGGCAATCACAACGATGGCACCAACGGCCAGCCGCGGCCGCCCATGTTTGCTCATCCCTCCCAGATGTCGATGCAGTCGCAGGCCTCGGGGGGCATCCCCATGGGTCAGAACAACGGCAGCGGCATGGCTGACGACGTGGCACAACGAGCTGCCAGCAACGGTCAATTTGCCGCGAACCAAGGAATGAGCCTGGACCCGGCAGCGGCCGCTGCCGCGGCAGCAGCCTACGGCCACCTTGGCTACGGTAACGCGGGGCCGGCCGCAGGGCCCGACCCAAGACGGCAACCATCGACCGGCGCTGAGCAGAAGGACCCTACGGGCGGGCAGGGCGGAGCGGGCGGACAACTCCATGGGATGGCATCGGGGCCCGAGATGGGCATGATGCAGGGCTTCAACCCAACGGCACCGAACCAGATGCCGATGGCCGGAGGCTTCCTTCCAGCCTACCCGGTGCAGGGCGGCAACGCTTTCGACGGAGCGGGATCGGGCATCGGTCATGGCGGTGCCGGCGATCCGATCGCCAACGACGACTTTGGGCCTGGCAAAAAGCGGCGAATGACCTTTGGCGGCCAGTTCCAACCCGGAGGGAGCCCGCCCAAGCCTGCCATGATGCAGCACGACAGCTCGGCCAGCATGATGCACGACTACAGCAGCATCAAATCGACACCCGTGGGCCGCGCGCCGGGCCCGGACGTACCACAGCACCTTCTCCACCACCTGCCTACGCGGCCCCCCCTGCTGCACCGCAGGTCGAGGAGCGGTTCCGAGCTGGCGGGCAACATGCCGGGCTTCCGGGGCGGGATGAGCTACGACGGCTTCTCGGACATTCACAGCTTCCACGGCCCCGGCGGGCCGGGTCAGGCCGCCCCGGTGTTTCTCTCTTCGCACTCGCACCAGGCCTCGTTCACTCGCGGCGGACCCCTGCCCCCGTCGGCGCTCGGCGGACACGCCGCCAGCCATCCGCCCGGTCTCGGCAGCCAGATCCTCCGAGGAGTCGACGTCAGCGCCAGCGGGTCCTCGGCAGCCTCGGACTTCACCAAGCGCAAGGGCTGGACCGGGAGGGTCGTCGAGGAGCTGCTCGACTTTGTCCACGTGCTGGATCCCGATGGCGTCATCCTCTTCGCCAGCCCGAGCGCCTACAGCTTGACCGGCTGGACCAGCGAGGAGCTGCGCGGGAGAAAGCTGATCGAGGTGAGTAGGGAGTCGTTGGTGATGCGAGCCGTCATCCGCCAGAGGTCCGAGAAGGATGCTGAGCCTCCCGTTCCATGCCCGTCTCTGTGCCCACTCTGCAGTTCATCCACCCGCAGGACGTACCCTCGGTAGAGCGCGAGATCGATCGCATGCGCCAGAGCAACGGCGAGCTGCTGACCTACTACCGCTTCAAGACCAAGCCAAAGTCGTTCTCCGCCCCCGGGTCCGGAGACAAGGGCGATTCGGCCGAGGGCGCGTCCAGCGGCGCCGGCGACGACGAAAAGGACCGCGACAAGGGCGACCAGGAGTATGCCGAGGCCCTGACGCGCGACGGCGAGTACGTCGTGTTTGAGGCGTCGGGCCATCCCTACTACCCGCCCAAGCCCCTCGTGATGCCGGCCAACGGCGCTCAGGAAGGCGACGAGGCCGACGGCGCGGATGCTCAGAAGGAAGCTGGCGCGGCCGAGGGCAGCTCGGGCGAGGCCAACCCCAACGCTGGTGCCGCTGCCGCCGCTGGCGATCTCAAGTCAGAGAGCATGACGCACTCGGCGTCTGGGTCCAAGCAAAGCAGCAACTCGCAGTCGCAGTCGCTCGATACGCCAAGCGAGGCTAGCAGCCTGAGCCGCGGGGCCCTGCAGTGCTTCTTCTGCTCGTCGCGCCCATACCCGAGCAAAAATACCAGCATGCTCGACTCGTTCCTCGAGTTGAAATTGGAGAACGAAAAGCTGCGCCTGCTCATCGCCGACATGGACCTCACCGGGCCGGACAATGACGCGGAGAGGGCCAACTTCACCGCCGCCTACCACCCGGATCTGCTCAAGCAGGAGCTCGAAGGCGAAGGGGGCCCTTTCCGGGATGGCGTCAACCCAATGTTCGGCACCGCCTTCCTGCAACAGGGGCAGCCAGGCCAGCAGCCAGGCGCCCAACAGCAGCAACAAGACCCGCGCTTCCCGCAGTCGGGCGCATTCGGTCCCGGCACGGCTGGTGGCGCGACGAGGCACAACTCGCTCGGCTCGCACCCGACCAGCCCGACGATGCGAAGCGGTCCAGCAGAGGATCTGCTCGCGAATGTCGTCGGTACCGGCAACGACTCGGACGACGAGGCCACCAGCCCCACGACTGCCAGTGGTGCTGCTCCTTCTGGCTCGCAGGGCCTAATCGACGAAGCTCGTCGCAAGAAGGTGAGCACAAGGCCGCTTCTCGCTCGAGTCCCTGCCGCTGCGAAGCATCATGATTGGCTGACTCGAGCTTCTCGTGCGTCTCCTTCTGCGCCCCGTCTTGCCACTGACAGAAACCCAAGCAGGACGATGGCGACCACGTCTGCACCGACTGCGGCCGCGTCGATTCGCCCGAGTGGCGCAAGGGACCGCTCGGTCCCAAGACGCTTTGCAGTGAGTTCTGTCGCGTGCTCCTGCCGCGGCCTCGCCGCAGCCATCTGACGTTTGCTTCGTGACGGTACCCCTCTCCTGCACTCGCAGACGCCTGCGGCCTGCGCTGGGCCAAGAAGATCAAGCGCAAGGGCGGGGATCCGACAATGGCCGGGATGCTTGTCCAACCCCCGGGCGCCCCTCAGCAGCTCCTTGGCCACGGCCACCCGCTCCAGCACTCGTTCGGCCGGGCTCCCGATGGCTCGATACCGCCGGGCATGGCCATGGGACCCCCTGGATCGATCAACGTCGCCGGCATGGGCGTCGGGCAGCCAGGCATGATGCCTACCTCGCCCATCTTTGCCACGCGCCCTTCGTTCGACGAGGGTTCCGGCCATGGACACGGGCATGGCCATGGTCAGGGTCCCTGATCCAAGATCGGCACAGCAGGCTCACATACTTCCTGTGGCCCTGATCCGCATCTCGCTACCCTCGAGATGGTCTCCAAGAACCTCTTCTCCTCTGACACCTTTGCTCCTCTTTTTTTATTTCGGGCCTCTTCGTATCTCTCTGGGCGTTCGTCTTTCGTCGTTGCCTTGCCGCCGGCCGATCGACGGGTCCGGCGGCGTGCCAACTCGCTTCCGGCTCCCTTGGCGCCCCTCCCTTGATCCTCTCTCCCTCTGCCGCACTCGCACGCGCATGCGCTCGTGCTCGCTCCTGCCATATCCTCGTCATGCCCCCCGATTGCTACCCGACCACCACAACTGTATCCCGTAGCCTCAAGGTCGCCCTTCTTAACCGTCTCCTGATTATACACGCATCCACGGACCCTTAAGCAAGCCACAAGACGGGATCATTGTCGCCGCCACTCTCTCTCTCTCTCTCTCTCNCTCTCTCTCTCTCTCTACGTCTCTCGTCGTCTCGTCTCTCTCTCTCGTCTCTCTC